CAAAATTAAGATACTTAGGAATCAACTTAATCAAGGATGTATAAGACCTGAAATCTACAGGATGTTGAAAAAAGAGATAGAGGAAGATATGAACAAGTAGAAGAATATACCATGTTCATGGATTGGTAGAATCAATATCATTAAAATGTTCATACTATCCAAGGCAATCTACAGAATCAATGCAATCCCTATTAAATTACCAACAGCATATTTCACAGATTTAGAACAAACTCTTCAAAAATTTATATGGAACCAAAAAAGACCTCCAATAGCAACAGCAATCTTGAGAAAGAAGAACAAAGTTGGAGGCATCACAATAATACAAAGCCATAGTAATCAAAACAACCTGGTACTGGCACAAAAACAGGCATATAGATCAATGAAAGAGAATAGAGACCCCAGAAATCAACCTAAGCCATTCACTCAATTAGTACTTGACAAAGGAGGCAAGAATATACAACGAAGTCAAAACAGTCTTTTTAATAAATGGTGCTGGGAAAATTGGACAGATACAAGCAAAAAAAAAAAAAAAAAAAAAAAAAAAAGGAAACTAGACCACCAACTTACACCATATACAAGAATAAACTCAAAATGGATAAGATTTAAATGTAAGTCATCAAACCATAAAAATCCTAGAAGAAACCATAGACAGCAAAATCTCAGACATCTCTCATAGCAATAGGTTTACAGATACATCTATTTGGGCAAAAGAAAATAAGGAGACTAAACAAATGGGACTACAGAAAATAAAGAGCTTCTGCACAGCAAAAGAAACCATCAACAAAACAATAAAAAAGTCCACTGCATGGGAGGACATATCTGGAAATGATACATCTTATGAAGGTTAACATCCAAAATATAAAAGGAACTCATATAACTTAACAAAAGGAAGACAAACAATCCATCAATAAATCAACAAATGACAAATGCTGGTGAGGGTGTGGAGAAAAGGGAACCCTCCTGCACTGCTGGTGGGAATGCAGACTGGTGCAGCCATTACAGAAAACAGTATGGCATTTCTTCAAAAAATTTAAAATGGAACTTCCATTTGACCCAGTCATCCCACTTCTAGGACTATATCCTAAAATACCCAAAACACCAATTAGAAATAATATATGCACCCCTATGTTCACAGCAACACAATTTACAATAGTTGAGATCTGGAAACTGCCCAAGTGCCTATCAGTAGATGAGTGGATAAAAAAGCCGTGGTACAATTACACCATAGGGTACTAGGCAGCAATAAAAAAGAAGAATCTCTTACCTTTTGAGATAGCATGGAGGGACCTGGAGAATATCATGCTAAGTGAAATAAGCCAGTCAGAGAAAGACAAGTATCACATGATCTCATTCATGCATGGAATGTAATCAACAAAATAAACTGATGAACAAAATAGATCCAGAGACAATGGAAGTCTGGAATAGACTGTGGAATCTCAGAGGGTGGGTAGGTGGGAAGAGACCAAAGAACTTGTATGTGTATATGCATAACCCATGGACACAGACAATAGGGTGGTGAAGGCCTGGGGCAGGCGATGGGGGTGGGCTAGGCGGGGTCAATGAGATAAAAAAGGGCACATGTGTAATACTTTCAACAATAAAGATTTAATTAAAAAATAAAATAAAAATAAAAGGCAGTCAGTACCACAAGATTAGCCCAATTCCCACAAACCCCACCCTTCAGAGGGCATCACATGAGGCTCAAGTGCCTGTGCTATTCTAAAAGAATGGCCCAGCTCTGCCCACTCAGTTGCTCCCTATGAAGTAGTAACAAACATTCTTTGCTACCGTTGCTTCCTCCACAAAGTCAATCATATCATTATTTCCGAGTTAAGAAAACTGTTCCAAATATTCAAAAGCACCAAATGGCAAAATCTAACTTCAAGTCAACATCTCTTTTTCTTCCAACATGTGGAAAGTCACATGGCATAATGCCACAAACAATAATCTGGGTTGAAAAGTTCAGCATGATTAACTCTTGACTTTGCAGCAGTTGTATTGATTTTGGCCCCATTTGGAAGATTCTTGTGTTTGCTCATAAAGTATGTGCTAAAGAATAAGGAGGTTTGTGGGTCTTTCCACTAAATCGTATTAGAGAAATGGTAAGTGATTTTTGTCATTTATTTACTTTTTAATATAGCTATCTAATAGTATATAAAAGCCTAATATGCCAATTGTTCCTGCGGGAGTTCTACTCACTATGATGTGCACTGATCACCAGGGGGCAGCGTGGGACGAAGGAAGACCCTGGGCGGCAGTCAGGGAAGGGAGGCCCCAGCCAGCAACCAGAAGGCCCCGATTGACTCTGATTGCTGGTCAGGTCTATGGACACTACCCATGCACGAATTTCATACACCAGGCCTCTAGTGTGTGTGTGTGTGTGTGTGTGTTTATTTCAGAGAGAAAGGAAAAGGTAGAGAAAGAAACATCAATGATGAGTGAGAATCATTGGTTAGCTGCCTCCTGTATGACCCACTGGGTACTGAGACCACATCCAGGGCATGTACCCTGGCCAGGAACCAAACTGTGACTTCCTGGGTCATAGGTTGACACTCAACCCAATTAGTTACACCGGTTTGTTTTGTTTTTACATTAGTCTCCAGTCTACGATGAGTACCTTTAAATATCCAAAATGTTTCCTCCTTTAAACTAGTTGTTCTTTGTTAGGATAATAAGTGAAACTTACACCTACTTAAGTCTTTTCCAGGTAAAGCTTTTATAAAATAACTAGAGGCCTGGTGCATAAAATTCATGCACTGGGAGGGAGAGGGGGGAGAAGGGGAGTGTCCCTCAGTCTGGCCTGCACCATCTCCAATCTGGGTCCCCTCGGGGAATGTTGGACAACCCTCTTGAAATCTGGGACTGCTGGCTCCTAACCACTCACCAGCCTGCCTCCCTGATTGCCCTTAACTGCTCACCCCCAACTGCCCCCTGCTCACCTCCAATTGCCACCCCCAGCTGGCCTGCTTGTTGCCAAATAACCTCCTGCTGGCCTGTGTGCCCTCAATTGCCCCCTCCCCCCCTTTGCTGGCCTGCTTGTCCCCAACTGCCCTCCCCTACCAGCCTGATCACCCCTAACCACCTCTGCCTCGGCCCTACCACCATGGCTTTGTTGGAAGGTCTCCCAGTTTAATTAGCATACTATCATTTTATTAGTATAGATTAGGAGTGTCAAACTCAATCAGAGAAGGGGCCAAAATCTAAAATCCAGCCTAAATCGCGGGCCGAATGGTTTACTGAACAGCCATAAACTGTCATTGTGATGGAAACGCAGCGGAGTGCCGTGATGACAGCGAGGTGCGGGCCACATTGCAAGGCCTGGCGGGACGGATTTGGCCCGAGGGCCTTGTGTTTGACACGTGTGGTATAGATGATTCTTTCCTGCTTGTTTAGTTGTTCCTCAAACTGGACACCTTTATTGGTGTTTTTATAATGGAAACTGATAAAGGGAGAGGTGTGTGGAGGGAACATGTTATGGGAAGGGCAGGGAAGCCAGGGGCAGGAAAGTGGCAGTTTGGATTTGGTAGTGACGCCTGGCTGCCATTCCTGGTGCCCAGGGCTCTTGTCTACACACCCTACACCCCAGGAAGTGGGCACCCTGGTGTCACCTCCATCTGAGAGATGTGAAGATGGCCAGAGGGCTCAAGTAGTCAGCCCCAGAGCAGACAGGTGGCGAGCCAGCCAGGCTGGAGCGGGCAGTTTGCATGCTCGGCCCTGGGATCGAGCAGGGACTGAGGGCTGTGAGGCAGGGACACCCCAGGAAAAGCTGGAGATGGAATTCAACTTCCAGGCTCGCAATCAGCGAGTTGCTCGGGCGCCGGAAGGCTGGACCTTTTGCAGGTTTCACAGGACCACCTCTGAGCTTCCTGTCCGGGCCCCTGGCTGCCTCTCCTGCTCTGACGGCAAAGCCACACGCCGCACGGCCTGGAGTGGGCACTGCACAGCCTCTGTCTCTGCTCAGGACCAAGGCCTCTGTCCGCACAAGATGGAAACCACCCGCGGTGGTCACCGCCTGCCTCGCGGCAGGAACGGAGGGCGCAGCCGACTGCCTGTGCCGGCCCCATGTGGCCAGCAAGGACGTGCAGGGACCGTGCACCGGACGGGTTAGAACAGCACCAGTGCACAGCCTCACTGGGTCAGTCAGCAATGAGGAACTGACATTTATAACAGTGACACAATCCCAAAAGCGCACAAAGGAATGAGAGCAGGAAATAGGGAAATGCCACAAATTTCCTGAAATTCGGGAATCCCTTTAGAGATTCCAGTGTGACCCCACTTTGTGCCCAGTCTAGGCTCCTGGGGGCCATCGCGGACAGCGCTGGGGGTGTTTCAGCAGCGGACCTGCAGGAAGAGGGCGACTTCAGACAGGCGGCCCCGGGGGTCCTTCAGCGGCCAGTGTGACAAACCCACTGAGCAGCACAGGCCGGCCGGGCAGGCGGGCGGCACCAGGGCCGGGGCCTCGGCTGGACCTGCTGGGCCCTCACAGCAGGACAGCGGGAATTCCCACACGTGTGCCTTTCCCCTGGAAAATGAAAGGGCAGATCCCGACCTCCTTCCACGACAGGGAGGAGCCCGCCCCTGCCACTGCACTCCCTGCTCTCCGGGGCGCAGGCCGCGGACTGGGCTGAGAGCACCTGCTCTGTGAGTCAGCGCAGAGCAAACATGAGTAAGCGTCGCCCCGGAGGGAGCTGGGGTGGGAGCTGGCGGCGTGAGATAAGGACGTGGATACCTGGACCTAAGACACGTAGGTGGACGCTCCGCCCGGCCTGGGAAAGCCTGGGCACGCCTACCCAAGGGGAGCGGGCAGGGACCGAACCAGCAGAGGGAAGAGGCTCGAAGACCCTGAAGGATCCGCCCTCGGAGTGGGGGTGGGGCGGGGCTCCCAGGGATGGGATTTCATCAGGGATACCATTGGGACTTCAGCACCACCTGCACCGGCCCGGGTTCCTGGGGCGCAGGGTGGGGGGAGGGCAGGGACCACGGGCACAGCGGGCCGGTACCTTGCAGTCGCAGCCGATGGGCTTGCTGCACTCCTCGCAGGTGCTGGCGTACAGGGCCTCGAAGCAGCCCACGCAGTAGGGGCTCTCCTCCCTCAGGATGTACTTCTTGCCGAAGAGTGACTCTTCGCAGTGGTGGCAGTCAAAGCGCTCCATCCTGACCCGGCTCCTCAGTGACCTGCCAAACAGGAGACAATCGTGTCACGGTGAGCACAGCGAATGCCGGGTGCTGGGCCTGGCGGGCGTGCCCTCAGTGCCACCTCCCGCCAACCGGTGGCTCCCTCCTCTGGCCAGTAACTAACTGGGCCTTGAAATGATCCTCGTTTTCAATACTTTTTAAAAAAGCATTGGAGGCAGTTTTGTGTCGACAGTGTCAGGAAAAGCCACCTCAGTTTTGGGCACAAGAGCATGTGCTTCAGAAGTGTGTGTGTGTGATGGCCTGCGCCCTCCCTGCCTGCTGGCCCCAGACAGAAAGGCAGGCTCACAAACAATGAGTTCATTTCTACGAACTTTCCATGAGTCCCATGTGCTCGTCAGTGTGAACAGTAAGAAACCGCAGTGGCCCAGGGAGGGCTTGGAGATGGTGAACCTTCGGTTGGAGGCCTATCGGACAGCATTCATTCCCCATGGCCTTGACATTGCACCGGGAAGCGCCTACCCTGGCACAGAAAAAGTGCCATGCATTCCTCGGGAGAGTCAGCTTCCTCAGATGAGAAGGCCTTCCCCCCATGCCCGCCGCCTGAGCAGCACGGAAGGCTGGCTTCCGAGGACGGGATCAGCACCGCCTGCAGGCGGAGGCCTCTCAGGCAGTGCCTCCCGGTTTTCCAAAGGATCAAGGATGCGTCTGAGGCCAGTCACTGCACTTTCCCAGGGTGAGCCTGGAGTGTGCATGAGCAGGAAGGGACAGGGAGGGGCGGGGACAGGTTTTCCCCTGGCCTCCTCCCCGTGTGCCATTCCCGTACAGGTTAGAGCGCTTCCAGAAATACCCGGTGTGGACAGACACCTCCGGGGCATGGAAGACACAGAGCTGACATTCTGCAGGAATATATTCTCAAGTGGCAATATTTTATTTGTGAAAAGTAAAAAGTTCAATAAATTGTTAAATATGTAGACTGGCTGTGTAACTCTGAGCCATGTTGCATGAATTCTAATTAAACTTGTTTCAATTCTCTGTCATTTCAAACCAGTTAAGTGTGAGATTTCATAATAAAACCCTATGATGCAAATAAAATATTGTTGCCTGGTTTATAATAGTAGCAGATATGACAGTGTTTATTAATTTTGTACTCCTGTATATACAAGGTCTTGACAACTGTAAGCTAAGAAATGAACATTATTCAAGTATCCGGACTTGGTTATTTCCAGATTTATAGAACATTTTTCCCCCAAGAGTATTGAATGTGCAGCTGGACACATGTGGTAAGATCCAGCCTTCTGAATTGCTCTTCCTGGAGTTAAAGAAAACACTGTCTGGATGTTCCTGTAATAACATCACAAGACGAGGCTCTTAAGCATTTGAATTATTATTCTGTGACCCACCATATAAATATGCTTTATTTTTGTTTTTACTAGCAAAAGTTTATTTAGGAAGTCACAGAGGTACAAGTGAGCCCTGGAGAAGTGAGCCAGCTGGGCTGTGTGGGCCCAAGGAACACGTTACAGAGGCAAGAGAAGGGCCCTCGGAGCTTAGGAGAAGGAAGCAGAGGCAATGTGCCTGGGAAAGAAAGGGATGGGGAAAGGTGGGCACCCACGCATGCGTGTGCGTGTGTGTGTGCGTGTGCGTGTGTGAGAGAGAGTGAAAGAGAGAGAGAGAGAGAGAGAGAGAGAGAGAGAGAGACACTGAATATACTTTGCACAGAAGCCCTCACAGACTGCAGCAGCAATGCTGGAAGAAGACTGGATGCTCTCCTGCAATTCCTCAGTTTTGAAAGTGGCTGTCATTTATTTCATCACAATTGAACACTGTCCTTCCAACACACATACTTTTCCAATAAACGCTGCCATTTATTTGTGGAACCAGAGGTTTATGGTCCATTTTATTCACACAAATATAAGAATAATACCTCGAGAATATGAAATAAAAACGAAAGAGAGGAGGAGAGAATCCAAGATGGCTGCACAGGTAAACACTTAACGGCAGCTGCACACAACAATTTCAATAAAATACAACTAAAATATAAAATGGACATTACCCAGAACTACAGGAAAGTTGACTGACTGGAAATTCTATCAATACAACGAGAAGGAAAGAGAAAACCAGAAGGAAAATCAGAGGAGCTGTAAAAGCCTAAGGTACGGAGACAGGTTGCGTGCGCAGAGAGGACAGAGCCGGAGAGGAGGGGGAGACTGAGTGCCTGGCTGGCGTTCCCTAGCGGGAAGGAGATAAAAGCCCCGGACTGTGCTGAACCCCAGTTCTGGGTGAGACCCTGGGGACCCAGGCTCATACAGAAGGAGCCCGGGCTGTGAGGCAGAATCTCGGGGGAGCGGCGAAAGGCAGAGCCCCCGGAGTCGCTCACATTATGCGTAGAGGACAGACTGTTGACTCTGCTGCCAGATTGCCCTAGCGGGAAGGAGACAAAAGCTCCGGACTGTGCTGAGCACCAGTTCCGACTGCACTGAACCCCAGTTCTAGGCCAGACCCCGGGGACCCAGGCTCATACAGAGGGAGCTTGGGCTGTAAGACGCAAACCCAGGGGAGCGACGAAAGGAGGTCCCAAAGGCGCGCACATTGTGCGCAGAGAACAGTCGGGTGGCTGTGCTGTGGGATTGCCCTGGCAGGAAGGAGACAAAAGCTTCAGACTGCTCTGAACCTCTCTTCCAATCCCACTTCCAACTGAACTGAACTCCAGTTCCAGACTCATTGGGGGAGAGCCTAGACTGTTTGGTAGCCGGCAAAACTCGAGGGCACCTCACTCTCAGAGGTGCTTGCAGCAAGTACCGAAGGACCCTGAGGAACACTGAAACTCAGGAGCCGAATAGGGCGGGGCTGACGGAAGCCAAGGCTGTAGGCTCCACCCTGAAACTCTGCCCCATCCAAGCAGAACACAGAGACTTTTAAGGCTACCAACTCAGGAAAGCTGCGAAAATGTTGAGACAAGAAAATAGATCACAAACGAAAGAAATGGAGGACAAAAAGCGACTGGATATAGAGTTCAAAACCACGCTTATAAGGTTTTTCAGGAATTTCCTAGAAAAGGTCGATAAGACCTATGAGGATATGAAAAGGGATCAACTAGAAATAATAAGACATCAACAAGAAATAATAAGGTATCAACAAGAAATAAAGAATGCATTGTCTGAAATAAAAAATATTATACAGAGTCCTAAAAACAGAATGGAAGATCGCAAGAATCAAGTCAAAGATTTGGAACGTAAAGAGCCAGAAGACACTCCTCCGCAGAAGCAAGAAGACAAGAGAATCCAGAAAGTTGAAGATAATGTAAGAAGCCTCTGGGACAACTTCAAGTGAACCAACATCAGAATTATGGGGGTCCCAAAAGAGGAGAGAGAGCAAGATATCGAAAACATACAGAAAGAAATAGTGACAGAAAACTTCCCCCACTTGGTGAAAGAATTAGACTTACAAGTCCAGCAAGTACAAAGAACTCCAAACAAAAGGAATCCAAAGAAGACCACACCAAGACACATCATAATTAAAATGCCAAGAGCAAAAGATAAAGAGAGAATATTAAAAGCAGCAAGAGAAAAGCAGGTAGTTACCTATAAAGGAGCACCCATACAATTGTCAGCTGATTTCTCAACAGAAATCATGCAAGCCAGATGGGAATGGCAAGAAATATTTAAGGTGATGAATAGCAAGAACCTACAGCCAAAAATAATCTACCCAGCAAAGCTATCACTCAGAATTGAAGGCCAGATAAAGAGCTTCATTAATAATAATAATAATAATAATAATAATAATAATAAAAAGCTAAAGGAGTTCATCACCACCAAACCAGAATTATATGAATTGCTGAAGGGGGTTCTTTCGGAAGAGAAAGTAAATAAAGATAAAAACTATGAACAACAAATATGTAACTATCAACAAGTCAATCTAAAAACCAAGGAAATTTAAAAAAAAATCTGATGAACAATATTAACTGTTGAATATAATAGAATCAGAGGTATGGAAGGGGAGTGGACTGACGATTCTCAAGGAAAAGGGGAGAGGGGGGATGTGGGAAGAGACTGAACATAAACTGTGCACCTATGGATGAGGACAATGGGGGGTAGGGAAAGGGCAGAGGGTGGGGTGGGAACCTGGTGGAGTAGAGCAATGGAGGGGGGGAAAAGAAGGAACGTTTGTAATAATATGAACAATAAAGATTTATTTAAAAAAAAAAAGAGAGAGAGGAGGAAACAGGGATATATGAAATAAAAACAAAAGGAGACAGAACGACAAATCACGGAATTTTAAAAGCTGCCAGAAACTCCCAAGATTTTCTAGTTTCATTTTATGGAGGCAAAACTGGAGCCCAGGAGTCTTTCTGTTATTGTTAATCCTTACCAGAGTATATTTTTCAAGAGATTGGAAAAGCGGGAATTGGGGTGGGGGGAGAGACAGAGAGAGAGATAAAAATATCGATGTGCGAGAGACACATCAATTGGTTGCCTCCTACACATGCCCTGACCAGGCCAGGGATCAAACCTGCAACTCAAGTACCTGCCCTTGACTAGGAATCAAACCCAAGACCCTTTGTTATGCGGGCAGGCGCTCTAACCACTGAACAACTGGCTGGGAGTCTTCATGAGAAAGGGTGATTCACATGAGTTTTCACATGAGCTAGGCATCTAAATTTGAAAAAACAAACTCCCAGTCTCAGAGCAAGTGGGCTGGGACAAGCACAGGCCCTGCTGGCTTCTCCGATAACCTCTCCAGAGCACCATGTGTGTGTTCCCAGCTGGTGAGAGGGTGGACCTTCTTTCCTAGAAGGCAGTGGCCACGGCATCTGTTTGCTACCTCCTCCGAGTGCACAAGCCCAGGACAGAAGTAACTGCAGCGAGTCACTCTGAGCAGAGGAGGGGCTCCCTGTCAGCTCAAAGCCTGACGCAGGCGCTCCAGAGGCACAGCCAGGGGAGCCGAGCTCCCTCCGGGACGGCAGGACAGGCCTCCTGCAGGAGGTGTTCCTGTGCTGGGGAAGGGTGGCGGCTGACCCTGCCGGCCCAGGGCAGAGTGAGCAGAGGCATGGAGACAAGCAACAGGGGAGGGCGGGGGCCACCCCAGGAAGACGGGAGTGAGGGGTGCCGCTTCAGGAATGGCGGAGATGAGGCGGAGAAGGTAGTCGGAGGCCGGACAGCAGGGCCTGGGGCCTTAGTCATGAACACGTGGGCAGGAGTTTAGCACGGTAGCTCTCCGAGCTTGCAGTGCGCGTGGAGGGGACGCCCAGGGCCCTTCTGAGAGCTGGGTGGGAGCCCACACGGCGGAGGGCAATGACTCAATGAGTTCCCAGGAAGTCAGAGTCCATTGCTGACTCATTTCTTCAGTAAAAACAGGACGTCTTGGTTCAATCAGGGCTGTTTCAACCTAACTGTGTGTGATCGCTGACCCTCTCTGAACCTCAGGACTCCTTAACAAGGTACACATATATTCCTCCCGTCCACCGCCTGCTCACAGCAGTGCTGCCAGAACGACGCAACAGCATGCAAGAGCCACCCAAACCGAAGGTGTGGCTGCTGACTTGTTCCTTCAGTGATCGACTCCAAAGCACGGCGTCCTGAGTTCCTGTCCCCGCGAGGAGAGGTTATTCTCCGGCGTCACCCAGGCTCCGAGCAGCAGGGCCTGTGAAGAGCTGGGTCTCAGGCAGCAGGCGTGGCTCCAGGCCGAGCGAACTGCTGTGGGCAAGGCCCGTCCCAGGCTCAGGGGGCAGGGGAAGCGGGGGGGGGGGGGGGGGGGGGGGGGGGGGGGGGGGCAGGGAGAGACTGTGATCTGCGTCCTCTCAGCCCCACGTTGGGTCAGATGCAAGAATCAAGTTCGGAGAGCCCTGGGGCAGAGATGCACTGGGCTCACCTCCTAAGGAATAATTACTATTTGAAAGTCTACAGTTTAGATGGGCATAATTTTTATCTTCTCAGATTCAAAAACTGTGAAACAAAGTTTGAGAGGGTAAGTGTCAGAGTCAGGGAGAAGGAGAAGGAGCACAGGAAGGCGGTGAGGGAAGGGGGGCAGTGCTGAGAAGGAGGTGAAGGGAGAGAGGGAGGACATGGGCAGCCAGACGGCATCCATTGTTTTGACCGGAGGGTTTCTTGAGAACCACAGGAGGGCCCGAGTGGTGGACAGCCTCCGCTGGGCACGCTGGCCCAGCCTCTGCTTCTCAGGCTCACCCATTCTTCCCACACGGGCGACCCGCAGAGTCACCTTCACCTAACACGGCCAGATGTGCAATAACAGACTCAGTTACGCCTCCTTTCTGATTATCTCTCTCTCTCTTTTTGTTAATCCGCATCCGAGGACATTTTTTCCCATTGATTTCTTAGAGACAGTGGAAGGGAGAGAGAGAAACATCCACGTGAGAGAGACAGTGGAAGGGAGAGAGAGAAACATCCACGTGAGAGAGACGGTGGAAGGGAGAGAGAGAAACATCCACGTGAGAGAGACGGTGGAAGGGAGAGAGAGAAACATCCACGTGAGAGAGACAGTGGGAGGGAGAGAGAGAAACATCCACGTGGTTGCCTCCCTCATGCACCCTGACCAGAGTCAGGAGTCCAACTGCAGCTCAGGTACGTGCCCTTGATGGGGAGTCCACCTCGGGACCCTTTGGTCCATGGGCCAACGCTCTAACCACTGAGAAACCGGCCAGGGCGCCAATCATATCTTTTCTAACTACCTATAATACTTTGCTCTGACCCCCAAGACACCATTTCCCTTCTCCCTCTCCAAACCCAAGGTCTTTTAGGTCAACTGCGACTTAGGACACTCCTCTAACAGTTCCTAAAGAGAAGTCAGTCCCGACAAAGCCAGGGCCACCTCTAAAGCCACCGGGAGCCAGCTAGGAAATGCCATCGCTTGTTAACTATCAACCAGAGCTTTTCAGAGAGAAGGAAAAAGATAAAACAAACAAACAAAAACATGATCAATAAAATGGCTATAATTACATATCTATCACCAATTGTATGTAAAAACCAAAATAAAGAAACAAGCAGAACAGAAACAGACTCAGACAGACACAGGAGACACTCCGATGGTTGCCGATGGGAGGGGGTGCTGGGTGAGAGGTGAAGGGGTTAGAAAGAACCAATCGGCAGTTACAGAACAGTCCCAGGGATGTGAGGTACAGCTCGGGGAATAGTCAGTAAGGTTCTAATGACTCTGTGTGGTGTCAGAGGGGCGAGCTTTATCAATCAGCGATATAATGTCCTCTGACACCGCGTGACCAGAAAGCAGGACCCTTACCGCCAGCACTTCTCAACGGTCTGGCTGAACTCCTTCTTTTCAGTGAAAATTCTGGTGAAAGGGAGAGGGACCAGTTCAAGAGATGTTGCTATTAAAAAAAATATATAATAATGTGCCTTCGAATTCTCCTGAAACAGATTTTTAGATTATTGGTAAGCTGTAAGATTGACTATGCCTAAAGAAATATGATATATTTATGAATTAATTGAATGACTCTGAACTGAGTACATCTATGAGCATGCGCCAGGGATGTATCATGATTTGGTATATAAACTGGTGACTTTCAAAGGCAAAACAAAAATCTGATTAGTCTCCATAAAGAAACGTCTTCTGTGAAAGACAATGCTTGAATAAGGTAACTGCTGTCCTGCACATATTTTTAAATATGGAATACCGAAAAGAAATGGGGAAATGATAAATGTCAAATTTCTGACCTTAACTCCATAAATACAAGAATTGATGTCTGCTGGACTTTTAGATTCAGTCACCAGGAATGTGTGAGGCAACCACTATTTCGCACGAACTGCCTTAGGTACTGGGACACTGAGATAAGACATACAATGTCTGGAAGAGTCCCAGTCCAGTTCAAGCCCAAAGAATTTAAATCACCTTCCAGATGCTATCTTGTAAGTTAATCTCAAAACATGTCAGTTCAGTCGATGCTAGACAAGCATAATTATGCAGCTAGAATGGTGGGCTGTCTCAGGTTCATAAATCTCCTCAGTGCAGGGGTGAGGGGGACCCACTGCACAGCTCTACCACAGCACTGCCTTCCTGGGACCTGGAGCAAGTTATCTACACGTTCGTGCTCTCTCACCAGAAACCTCATCCTCTCCCTCACTCTCACCCTCACCCTCACCCTCTCCCTCACTGTGAGCCTCTCACCCTCTCCCTCACCCTCACCCTCACCCTCACCCTCACCCTCACCCTCTCCCTCACCCTCACCCTCACCCTCACCCTCTCCCTCACCCTCACCCTCACCCTCACCCTCACCCTCTCCCTCACCCTCACCCTCACCCTCACCCTCTCCCTCACCGTCACCCTCACCCTCACCCTCACCCTCACCCTCTCCCTCACCGTCACCCTCACCCTCACCCTCACCGTCACTCTCACCCTCACCGTCACCCTCACCGTCACTCTCTCCCTCTCCCTCCCCGTCACCCTCTCCCTCACCCTCACCCTCACCCTCACCCTCTCCCTCTCTCTCCCTCCCCCTCCCCCTCCTCCTCCCCCCCTCCCCCTCCCCCTCACCGTCACCATCACCCTCACCCAGTCTCCGAAAGGCAGCTTGTTGTTGTGCTCTGTGGGCTGCCTGGCCTTCCATCTACTATGGCCCTCATGTGGCCTTTTCCTTGGGTGACCCCAACTTTCAGGAGAGCCTGGCCTTGGCCTCCTCACCCTCCAGCCCGCACCTCCCGGTGCTTTCCAGCAGACCGCGGCAGGGTCCTGTCGGGGTCGCTTACACAGGTCTCGCTACTCTGTGCATGGAGTGGCTGTCCTTTTTCTAAAAGTTGTATCATCACAGACAGATCTTTCTTTTTGACTGAAAACCTAAGTATTTGCAGACTTCACGGATGCCCTTGGACATGGATTTTATTTACCCCCAGAACCAGGGCAGCTGCTCTTTTCATTGACATAGACATCACTTATCCCACTTCGTACCCTAAGCCAAGAGGAGATCTCTAAGTCATAGACTAAATGGGGCAGTAAAGGGTGACGAAGGCCGAGGACGAGTGTGATACAGGTGATGTCCAAGTTCAGGCCAGGTGTGAGAATTCCTCATCAGAACTGGATCACCATAGAGACCAAATGCTGCCCCGAAGCCCTCATTAGCTCCCAAGAGGACAGACACTATAGTTTACAGCAAAGGGAACGTCAAGACCAGCAGAGCAAAGGCGTGATGGAGTCTTAAAGAGCACGACGAAGAGGTGGTGGGAGACTTTTCACACAAGTTCCTGGGGAGCTACAGTAGTCAGGGTTCTCCAGGGAAACAGAACCAATAGGAGAGGGAATATACAGGGTTGCAAAGCCCTCGAACAGGAACACCAGTGGTGCGAGTTCCCGTGCCAAAGCCAGCAGCTCAAGGCCCCAGGGGAGCTGATGCTTCCGTCCGAGGCCGAAGCTGGAAAGCACTCTGCCCCAGCTGGGCAGGTGGTGTTCCCTCTTCGGGGCCTTCATGTTATATCAGGTCTTCAACTGATTGGATGAGGCCCACCCACGAGGAGAAGGGCAATCTGCTTTACTCTGTCTCCTGATTCAAATGCTAATCGAACCCAGAAGCACCCTCACAGTCACAGCCAGAAATAACTTGTGTCTGGGCACCCCAGCGTCCAGTCAAACTGACATAAAGTCCATTGCCACAGGGACTAAAGTCCAAACCCATAATTTACTACAACAGAGACAATTCATCATCTCCTTCTCCTTCCCCCCACCCCCCAAATCCCAGGGCCAGCGCGGTCCCTGGAGAGCAGACTCTGAGGCGCTAGAGAAGAGCCTGCATCGTGTTCAAGGTGGCCGTCTTGAGAGCGTGGCCTCTCAGTATAATTCCATCTGATAAATGGGCTTCGGAAAATTCTCATAATGAAACGACAGGAAGTATCCAAGATCTCTGTGTTCACCCAAGCGTGGCATCTGAGTCAGAGAAATTTCCCTGCTCCAGCCCCCTTGCTGACCACGGAGGCAGCCTGAGCTCGGAGGGAGGCTGGGAACTGACCTGGTGCCGGCAGGAGTGCAACCCAGGCCTCCGAGGCCCCGTCTAATTCTTTCCAACATCCACTGGGCATTTCTGCCTGCAAGTTAGAGTTCTTTCAATTCTGGAAGCGATTTCACAAGCTATCTTGGGTCAAAGTATGCAACCTCAATGCAATATTCAGGTGTGCCCCACAGCTGAGTGGTGAGACCTCCAGCTCTTGAGTTAAGCTGTCTGGGCTCAGATCTCAGGACCAGGGGCATTTACAGGTGGGGAAACCTTAACCAAAAGTTACCTGCACCTCTCTGTGCTTCAGTTTACGTGTAAAAACAAACGTAACATCAAATACCAATACACTGCTCTCGACGTGCGGGCTTGATAACAACCCTGCAAACAAAACACTGTGGGATCTGTTTTCCAGCTGAGAAAACTGAGGCTCGGACTCAATCTGGAAATCGCGGTGGATCACAGCTTATATAAATGCACAGTGAAATGTCCTTCATTGGCTTGGGTTTTATGGAAGTTTAATTGTTCGACCAGAGTCCCAAGTACTTCTAAGACGTGCTTCAGATGTTTCTTGGTCTATACCCTCTAGGGCAGTGTTTCCCAAAGTGTGGTACGCGTACCCCCAGGGGTACGGGCAGAGTTTGGTGGGGGTCCGCGTTGCACCGGAGTTCGATGGGGATATGCACTGCACCGGGCTTAGCTGCGCCTAATTCTATGTTCTCATGAGTATGAGGGGTACTCAGCGTTAGGAAAATTATAGAAGGGGTACACATATGTCAAAAGTTTGGGAAACACTGCCAGGGGATAGCACTCCTTCCAGACCAGGCAAACGGAGGCAGTGCCGAAGCAGCAGAGCACTGGCCTTGTGTTTGATCGCAGTTCTGATTGTAAGCCCGCACGGTGGTCAGTGCCCACGGAACCCGGAGTGGGTCTGAGAGGTACCGGGTTGTTCACTTAGGAGAGGGCTCAGCACCCACCACTCCGCCGGCAATCTCAGGCTCGCCAAGATAGTCAGAGGCGCACCTTAAGATGAGCGGCTCTTTTCCTGTAAAATGGCCTGTTTTGATAAACCCAGGGGCTTAGCTTTTTAGTTTCTGCACAAGTCAATGCGAGCTCCACGTCTTCCTGCCAAAGGGGAAGGTCAGACCCGCACGGACAGCCCGTCTCTGCCCGGGACTCCTCGCGGGGGGCGGCCCCGCGCTCCTCCGGCGGAGGGTCTGCCCTGGAGGGGACGGGGCTCTCCCTCCGAGGAGGGGGCGGCCCCCCTCCCCCCCCCCGCCTGCGGTACCTCCGAGGCCTCCGGCACGGTTCTGTCCGGGCTCCTTCTCCCCATCTCACCCCCCGCCTCCCGCCCCGTTCGGCGTCTCCGTCCCCGTCCCCATCTCCCCACCGCCCGGCGCCCCGTCTCTCGGGGCTTCTCCCCGGCCCGGCTCCCTGGTCCCCGGACCTCCCCCGCCGCCCGGCGCCCTCTCCCCGGTCTCCCCGCCCGGCGCCCTCTCCGGTCTCCCCGCCCGGCGCCCTCTCCCCGGTCCCGGCGCCCTCTCCCCGGTCTCCCCGCCCGGCGCCCTCTCCCCGGTCTCCCCGCCCGGCGCCCTCTCCCCGGTCTCCCCGCCCGGCGCCCTCTCCGGTCTCCCCACGCGGCACCTCCCCGTTCTCCCCGCGGCCGGAGGGCGCACTCACCGCGGCGGGCGCTCCGGACGGCGGGCGGTCCGGCTGGCTCTCCCGGCTCCGCCGCCGGGACTGGAGCGCAGCCTCCGCCGCGAACCCGGGCCCTGTGACCATATAAGGCGCGGGCGCGCCTCCCCGGCGCCGCGAGAGGCTGGCGGCAGCGGGTGCGGGGGCGCCGGCCTCCGGCCCGGACCGCGCCGCGCGGACCCGGGTCCTTGGCTGTCCTTCCTTCCCGCGGTGCAGAGCGCACGGGCGACGTGGAGCTGCGTCCTGAGCCTTAGCTCACGTGGGGAGTTTGGGTTGAGGGCGCCGGGCCACCCCTGAGGCGTCCTAGGACCCAGGGCGCGGTGGGGTGGTGGTGGGGATGGGGGTGGTGGTAGGGATGTGCTGGGCCCCCACCGACCCAGAGGCAGGCCCCAGCCCAGAGGGCACAGTGAGAGGCGGGGCGGGGGGTGATGGACCGGCCACTTCTCAGGTCTTTCCAGGGCACGAGGCATGGCGCCTGAGATGTATTTGCAAGGTGTGCTTTTTGTCCACCTTACCCTGTAGAGCTAGCTGTCTCTGTCACGAAATGAACCCAGAAAATGGCCCAAATGAATGAATAATGCCAAATTCTTTGTTCTGCTGGAGAGGGGGCAGGATAAGGCCCCAGCCCGAAAAAGGGGTGATGGCGCTGTTCAGAGGTTCTGGTCTCTTATCCTCTCCCCGCCAGGAAAACAGAAGTGATTTGGTCTCTGAATGCCCCCCACCTGGAAGCCCAGGCCTCTGCACGAAGCACACCCGCAGGGACAGGTGGCACCAGGGACCTGCAGAGAGAGGGCGCAGGCGGCGTCTCCGGCCTGGGAAAGAGATGTTTGTTCTTCAGGAGGTGGCCAGGCTCAGGCAGCAGTGGAGGAGGGCTGGAAGCCAAGGCACAGCAGAAATACTGGGAGAGGGGGAGCCGTGTTGGTGTTTAACATGCAGCGGGCCACAGAGAAGGGAGAGCGATTGGATTGCTTTCTCTTGGTTGATGCTCAATGTCTGGAGATATTTCAGACCCTCCCCCCTCCCCCCCCCCCCCCCACACACACACCATCTTCATCATGCAAGC